TTAACACACATAAGGTAAAGTTTCCCACACACAAAGGTTCCGGTTCTAGGGATGGTGCTCATCTCTATTTCTAAGCCGAAGAGCCAGCGCTGTCCGAAGAATTCTCTGTGGTCATGTGGCCGGCATGACTAGTGCTGTTACCTTCCCATCAAGGTGGTCCCTATTTTTCTACTTACTTTTTTTTTGCTTTCAAACTGCTAGGTTGGCAGAAGCTGGGACAAGTAACGGAAGCTCACTCCATTATGCAGCACTAGGGATTCAAACTGCTGAACTGCCGACCTTCTGATCGACAAGCTCAGCATCTTAGCCCCTGAGCCGCCACGTCCCTCTAACACACATAAACAAGCATACAAATAAACTTAGCCTACGTAATTTCAACCAGGGTTCTAAGCATTTTCATAGCCTCAGGACAATAACAGCAGAAGCACCAGTCTGGTTGCAAGAATATCTGCCAGAAGAAATTCAGAGACCCATTTGCTTCTGAAGTATGGCTGATTATTCTAACAAATCCCCTATCCTTGTTAATAAAGGAAGATAAAACAACTATGAATCTCTAGAAGAAATAAAATTATGATGTGTGAATCAAACAAATGTTACTCTCCATTCCTCTTTACCTGATGTTGTTATTACATCTCAATAAAAATATGAAGTACCAAGTATGAGTCTATCACAACTGAAAGACTGAAAAATATACTAAGAAATTCAGGAAGAGGAAAGAAATGAAACTTTCCTCTTTTAGTAAAGGCTTAACAAAACAATTTGTTTGCTTTTTTAAAAAAATATATAATACATCTACTTATATATTTGACAAATTTCTGAGCTACCCAACTCTAATAAAACTGGTTAACTTATCATATAAAACAGCAAAGAAAAATGAAATAAAATTCCAAACACACTGTGATCCTTGGAATCAACAGCCATGTTTATGTATTTGAAACTACTGGTCATGTTTTTAAAAATAGAAGGGATCCAGAACACTATTACCAACAAGAAACATTTCAATTCTGATGGTCATAATGTTCAAAATAAAGCTAACATGTTCATACAGTACACTAAATCCACTCAAATTAAGGAAAGTTGGATTAGCAAGATTTAAAAAAAACAGCCTTCACCAGATACAACTATGCTTAGAATATCTGCAATTAAAATTAATAGAGCTTTTCAATACAATGAACCACATTTTAGTCAACTCTGTATTCACTACTGTAAATTTTCCAACATTTCCAGAATATACTAAAACAGGTTGCTATGATAAATGGTGAATAGTCTATGTGTGTGTTTGAAAGACTGCATCTAAAAACAGATTCTATGATAATACTAGAAAGCCAAATAAATAAATATTGAATTCCAAGGGGATACTGGCCTTGAAAAGTGAATTAAAGAAACTGCAGACTTTAATGGAAAAATACTAGTTCCATTAGTGCTGAAATAAAAGGAGAATATAAAGAAGTATAATATAAAAGACTGTGCTAATAAATGATTCAGATAAAAATAATACATTACAGAAAGCAGCAGGTAAGGATAATTTAAATCAACCTTCTTTTAAATCCGTCTTTTAAGAAATAGAAGAAAAATACCATTAGTAAGTTTTTAATATTACTTCTACCCAATTTTTACATAGAGCATTCTAAAATATAATGTGTAACATTGATTAATTATGTGCTATCAAATCCATATTTCCCAGGACTTCTCAAGAGAGCAGGAATTTTTTGCAAAATACATCAAAAATATGTTATTTTCAGCTTGGATAATTGTACCTCAACTAAGAGCATTGATTTGTTGAATCATTCATTTGTTTATTTCCTTGATTAGTCAAGGTGTCCTCAGGAGTCTAGTCCAGCATCAAAGTTCAAAAACATCAATATTCTTTCTGTCTTGCTACTTCAAAGTTCCTTTTTTTGCTTTCATAAATTGTCACAGGGAAAACCATTGCCCCACCATGTTTTGATCTTTGTAGATAAGAAGATAGCATGATATTTAAAAATTGTCTCCTACAAATTGCTAATATGCAGCATATTACAACACTGAAATTTATTTTCAATTTTGATACATGAACACTACTTCCTTTGGAAGCATTTGGATGCCACACCATGAAGAGTAGCGAGGCATTAACCTTTCACATAAAACCAATTATGACATTAAAATATTTATACTTTTCTTAAGTAAAAATAATGTTTGGTTTTGAAATAAATTTTAGCATTAAAATAAACAGTTATTCTAGAAGAGGGGTGACAAACTCTATTTCATTGAGGGCCGTATAAGGGTTGTGTTTGACCTTGGGGTGGGGTGGGGGCATGTCCAGGGTGGGTGTGGCCAGCTTGATATCACTTGTGTCAGGGGCACAGGTGGTCTGACTGCTCTGCCAGCCGAAAATGGACTCTCGATCTCCATTTTTGGCTGGGACAACCTCCTGCAGCCCTTTGCCAGAGAAAACAAAGCTTGGGAGAGCTGCAAGTGGCCCTCGCAAGTTCCATTTTCAGGTGGAATGGCCTCTTGCAACCCTCTGCCAGCAAAAACAGTTTGGGATCTAAGCACCCAGCAGGCTGGATCCAGTCCAGGAGCCTTGAATTTGACACCCCTTCTCTAGAAAGTTCTAATCTAGCATATGTATGTAAGATCAGCTGTGACAACATTGAAATCCTGACTTGCAATTTTGACTACTCAGAATTGGAAATAATATTTAGACGTGACTAGTTTTGGAGAAGAAGCTAAGCTATCACAAAATGTATTTGGTTGTGTTTGTATGTTCTCCAAATTCAATCACTGTTACATTTAGTCATGATTTATAGTTTAATACATTGAATGAGATCATCCAATTGTGCTTTATTCAGTATGATTTGTTGAATTTCTTCATAGCTAAATATGTTTTATCGGTCGGTACCATCACAGGGAATCATCTTTTTCTTCCAAAAGACAAACCAATAGCAAAACTTGATATATTTTAATTATAAATAAAGACAGCTAATGATTTTTTTAAAAAAATTAAATATTTAAGTATGAAATTGCAATCTCAAGTAGAGTTATTTTAAATGGGAAATGCTGAACTATCTTGTGAGTAAATATCTATAAGAACAGAACACAATCCACAGTAATTATATACAAAATTAAAGTTATATATTCACTTATCCCATCTCAATTAACAATATACTTCAAAACAGTAGCATACTTTATTTCTCTCATGAGTAGCTAAATATTCATAGCTCCCAATATTGATCTTTTACATAACATGAAACAGATGATTTGCACTGCATAATCTTAGAGAAACTTATCAACACTTTTACAGGTAAGTTGGTTCCTTAATTATATTTCTGAATATAGCTCATGGTCTTAATTTTTTTACTCGCTGCAAAAAGTAGAAGCTAATTGCCATTACGCTGCAGGAGCAATATGATTGCCAAACTATCAAATTTTGTCAAAATACATGGAAGCATTTTGTGGCTTACATCTGAAAGTATCTCCAGATATATAAAAAACATTATCAAGTTGCAAAAATGCTGGGTGTTTATACAAACCACCTTAATTATCCCTTAAAATATTAGCAACAGACAAATATGTTTCCACATGCTTTGATGCAGTGTTTTTCCAGTCCCACTGACACATTATCAACCAAACTTCTATATACAATTCAGGTAATCCAATATTAATCACAGCTTTTCTTATTAGTACTAAAAGACCAGTAGCCACATGAAGTTGTCATAACAATTTTATATTAAACTTTGAGTTTGTAATTCATTTATAATTTTGATTAAAATATTCCATCAGAGACCTTCATTAATCTCTGAGGATTGCAGTCTATCTACCTAGATGAGGCTCTTTGCTTTATGGAGACATGTCGCTTTGTCTCAATGGGGGGAAGTATTGACATGGAGGGCGATTATTTCACTTTTATAAACATCAAAGGAAAGTAAATTCGCATGGATCAGTTACTATGTTTTGATAGAACTGACTTCTGCACTAAACACCACTTTACTCAAGTTATGTTTTATCATTTTATCACAACTTCCCATGCAATCCCAATGGAAAAAATAGAAAACATTTACATTAGAAAAACAAGAAACAGAGTTTTTAAAATCCAAATTAGGTTATATATTCTCCCCTATACCCATGAATTTCTAGATTTCCATAGATAAGCACAGTTAAATAATGTAACTAACTATAATCTAACGCAGGCATCTCCAACTTTAGCAATTTTAAGACTTGTGGATTTCAACTCCCAGCAAAGCTGGCTGAGGAATTTTGGGAGTTGATGTTCACAAATCTTAAAGTTGTCGAAGTTGGAGACCCCTGATTAACGGATAAGTCTAGAAAAAGGAAAGCTCCTTATGTTGATGGAAAACAGGAACACAACTGGGAATGACAGGGAAATTGTTGAAATAAAGACACTGTCAAGTGAAGAAAGGGCAACTGAAGTGAAAAGGCAAGTTTAATACAGAATTCAACAAATCATTTTCTGACAGAAATATTGTTTACTTGAATGCTTTACTGCACGCAGCCTATTTCAGTCACCTGAATTCCAGATTGCCTTTATGGAAACTTCACTCCTCTCTAAACTAATCAACTTCTTTTTAAAACAGGAATGTAAATGCTTAAAAGGGTGGCTCATAGCTGTATAACTGTCATGCCTAAATTAGCTTTCAACTATATTTGTTATTATTTATGTATTTCAGAAGAACAGTTGGATGCATCATCTGCTTGTCTTTATACAGAATTTCATAAACTACATAGCTTATGAAAGGTTTGGACATGTTTATTTGTAGCTGTAGATAATTTTTGCTTTAGATCTGGCAGAAGACATAAATCAGATTTCAAATAACTAGAATTGTGAAGGCAAAATAAAATGATCAGCTTAACAACATCAACAGACTATAATCAGGTATTCTCTGGTAAGGATGCATGCATTACTTGAATAATTTTTGAACAATAAATTTAACATATTTTAAAGTTAAAGGCAATGAGAATCTATATAACTATATCAGAAAAAATATAAAATGGGGACCCACATGAGGATTTACCTTCCACTGCTCTCTTAAAGAAGACTTTGCAACTGCCACATGTCACTACTCCATAATGGCATCCGGATGCTTCATCTCCACACACCAAACACACTTTAGAAGGTCTTGAAGATCCAGTTGAAACATTTCTCAATGATGAACTAGGGGGAAAGATAATAGGGCTCATTAATATAAAATTCCCTTGATACAAATTCCATTTTGTTATTCAATTTCTAATCCCATAATTTTGAGGCTTTACCTCAACATTTTTTTAAAAAAAATTAAAGACCTTCATTTCTTTTAGTAATATATGTGTAACATGGTTGTTCTTTATAGTACTTGATATATTTAATTTTGTGGTTTAAAATACTCACTGACACTCAACAGTGTGAAATTTTTTATCTACCAACCTTCCCTTAGAACCTAGGTTTATTTGATCGTATTACCAAGGCAAAAATAGTAATCTATCAAAAATGCATTTACTATTTTATAGTAGGCTATTCATTAAGAAAAATATAACACAAAAACCAGGGAAATATTTTTATAAAGCGCAAACATATTTAATTATCCAGTAGATGCCAAGATTTTGGGAGGTTGCTTTTGGCATTTATCAGAATAGACTGAAATGGATATTATTTCAGAGTAGAACATTTTAAGGATTGCTGAACAAAGGTTTTTTTTTTTAAGAATATCCATTACTCTTAGGCCCAATTAAAAATCTATAAGTAGACCCATAACATTTTATCTTCATATATTCTCCAGATATATTCTTATTTTTTTCAGTTTTTCTCCATTGTCTTAAGAAATTAAATTGTTGCAATTTCCTTAATGTCAGTAATAGGAATTTTATTATTTCTTACCAATACCCTGGCATCCTTAATATATAGGTTGAAATATTTTTTAAAAACCCACATCTGCTGAAAAGTCAAATCATTTTAATACTGTATATAACCCAATGATTCAGCATATTAAAAAAAAATCTTTGTCCTAAGGGGAAAATGAGAATTTATTTAAGGAGGCATAGATCAGTAAAAGTGTCATGTTTATTTTCTTATTTTCTGAGAACTTAAAAGTAGCACAAATAAATATTTATTTACTTTATGAACTACTTTGAAAGAAAGATAATGACAGGCTAAACTACTATTGGTTGGGTTCACACATAGTAATACAGTTATGATTCATATCACAATACCTAAGTTCAAACAACATGTATATTCCAAATCTATTCTGTCCTATCAGGAGGCTGCTGCCAAATAAGTCACCTTGTGAGCCTTTTAATGCTCTCAATTCTTATCCCAGGGCAGCAGTTCTACCCTATACTGTCTATTACAGAATGCAAGACAAAAAGGCAAAGTATATTAGGAAAGACCTTGAAGAGCTAGTAAATAGATCTTTCTTTCATCCTTTTTTAAAATTTATTATTGAAAATGTTAAATACAATAGAATTTAATTTAGGAATGCAAATTAAATTCAGAAAAAGAAAAGTGATAGAATAAAAAGTGCAAAGTAAAAATAGAAAAGTCTTTATTATATAAAAAAAAATAAAACTTTATCCCTTATAAAGTTACAACAAATATCTCTTCTTCCCATAGCCCAGTTCTTTGACAGGTAAAAACATGCATCATCAACTTTTTAGTCCTGGGGTGCAAAAAAATCCATAGTTATCACCAGAGCTTTATTTTAATTTTGATCAAACAAGCCAACTTCATATTCTTCTTTTGCTTCTAAATATTCTTTAATTCATGTTGACATTGTCTCACTAAAATTGGGGTGGGCATGGCCAGTGTGTGATGCATCCAGGCCGCGGACCACAAGTTTGACACCCCTGGTCTAGGATAATGTCCATGCCTTTAATTTCCAAGCTTTACTCATGGGTTGGTGTGGTTTTTTTGGTGATCCAGAAGAAAGTGCTTAAAGGGTGATTCTCTTGCCTCTTCTCTATTTCTGAAATGCACTTTTTTCTTTATTATTTTTATTTCCAGTTTTAATAGCATTTCTGTTTTGTAATCCACATTTTTTAAAAATGCAATATTTTTGATTCTGCTATTTTTGTAACAAGTAAAATTTGTTTCACATCTGTCACTCCTTTATTAATATTTTTTAATATTTTTAAACAACATATAGAATCATTATTTGCTTTTGCTGCTAATAATTTCTCTGAAGATTTATTTAATATTTCAAATGTTTTAATATTTTGTTTAATATTTCAAAATGTTATAATATAGTGTGTCATTTTGTAAATACTAATCACAAAGGCAAGGGAGGTTTTTTAACTTTTTTGCTTGGACTTTATCTTCTTCAAAAGTCTGTATCCAATTTAAATCATAAGGTCTCTTATCTCTGCTATGACTTGCAATAGTCAAAATAATTCTAGTTCGTATAAAAAGCTGCTTATTTTATATAACTAATTCCAAAATCTTATTGTAAAAGTTTCAACATTTATGTCTAAGCTCTTAATTCATTTATAACTTTCTTAATTCAAAACTTTATTTAGCTTTTTGCCATTTATTTCAAATTCTTTAACTTCTTATAAATATATTTCATTTTTCTTTTGTTTCTGAATAAAATTATAGTCTCCAGTAATTTTTTAGTAAATTGTAACTTTATAGTAATTTAGTAATCTCCAGTAATTTTGTAGTAAATAGTCTCCAGTAATTGCAATTTAAAAGACTTTTAATAGCCTTAAAATATTTAAATAAGCAATTTTTCAATATGATTAGAAGTAAAGTTAGCAAACTTAGTGTCCCTTAATGTCCCAGATATAGTTATGAACTTGATGATTAATACTTTTGTTAACTGCTTTCCTGCAGTATCCTCAAGAGAAGCCACCATCTGAGCCACATATTGGCAATCTCCTGTTCTGTCCTTATAAATATCAAAAAACTGGTCTACTCATCAGTGGTTATTACCCACAGAGATTCCTTTAGCTCACCATGCTTCCACTGGAAATTTCCCCCTTCTTTCATTCTTATAGAATCTGCTTTTACCCTCATTTCTAAGACTCAACCTTTCCAATAATACTTAAAGCTACAGCTAAAAAGAAGGGTGTCCAAGCACATTTGAATCAGGCTAGTTAATTTGTTTTCCTTAATGTTGAGCTTTCAAAAGCTCAACAGCTATCTTTCTCTGATTTGAATCGTGGTCCTAATAACATTTTTCCTCTTTCCACAAAAAACAATCCTAGGATTCAATTATGTTGGAGTAAAAAACAACAAGCTAGCTAATAGCATAAATAATTGGAGGGCAGAGAAAGAACTGAAGTGTTTCAAACATAGCTTTTGGAAGTGACTATGATCTGGGAGTCTTTAAATGCATTTCCGTTTTCCTAAAACTACAGAACTTTTATCTCACAGACACGAATCACTTACATAAGGCGAAATACATATTTCCCTTTCTCCAGCAGAATTAGAAGATGGAAGAGCATGATTGGAGTTAGGAGAACATCAAACTGGGTAATGAGATGAAAAGAAATAGACGGATGCAGGAAAAGGGGAGGGGAGGAATTAGGCCTTATAAAATAGGTTTAGATTCAACTAGTCATTTCAACAGCTATCTATTCCCATTTCTTTCTTTTTCTTTTTAAGAATATTACATTCATGTAAGCCAAGGTTAGAAGTACTCCAATTAATAGGTGTTATTGAAAGAAAATGTTAATTGTCTTTGGGAAAGAATAAGGATATGTTTAACCTGTCACTGATGTGTTCACAACAGAACATTAAAACATAAGCAAGAGTTTAGAATCACAAGGAATGAGCTTAGACAATAAGTCACAACTAAACTAAACAGAAACCTATTGTAGCTTACTGTGGTCTATTAAGATGAAGCAACTCACTGTTACCATCCCCAGGTTATATCACTGAAAGAATTCACATATTGCATTAAATTATGGGATAGGCTGCTTGGTTCTGGCACAGTGTAGTTCGCTGAGTCTGTTCTTATGATTTGCAAATCACTGCTCATGGTTTAATTCAGAGATGTCAAACTCAAGGCGTGTGGGGCCCGGATCGGCTCATGGGGTGCTTAAATCTGGTCCACAGGGCCGCCCTGGAAACAGCAAAGGACCAGGGTGCAGTGCCTCTGCCAAGGAAAATGGAGCTTGCCTTGGGAGGGCTGCTCTGTTTTTGCTGACAGAGGGTTGGAAGAGGCCAACACAGCCAAAAATGGAACTTGGGGGCCCGTTTTCGCTGGTAGAGCACTTGGGCCAGCATAGCCCCCCCTCAAAAAAAATGAGTGATATTGAACTGGCCACACACCCCCTGGCCACACCCTCACATCATAATCCTGATGCTGCCCTCAATGAAATTGACTTTGACATCCCTAGTTTGGTTAGTATAACATATGTATCTATTCAAATGTGTCTTATCTAACAAACCATAATAAACCAAACCAGGACTTATCTATGAGATATATATAACATCAGCAGCTACTAACAAATGGCAAGATCACTACAGATCTATTCAGCATAGTAAGCTAATTACTTCTTCTATTTATATGACATTAAGTCAGGAAAGACATAATTAGTAAATATGTGGTAATGAGTATTAACTGAGGTAGTGGGGAAGCAAATTTTCAGCTAATCATTGAATGACAAATAAAATGCTTCAGTTTGTGACTTTTGATTCTAGGCTTCCTGAAATATAGGAATTTTGCTATATGCTGCAAGTTGGCTTAATAATAAGCAGGATCTCTAAAGCTTTTTCTTCTTTTCAAGATCTTGAATCTAAAAGTTACTTTTATTATGAAACAATTAATAAAACAGCACATTTTGACCACATAATACTTCTGCACAATCAATGCAATTTTAATAAGCAAATCATATTATTCAACAGAGAAATTATTTGATATATCACTCCTGTTCAAAAACATTAGCCGAAAGCTCCATTTTTCTTACGTCTTTTACTCCAGTTATAGATTCTTTATTATAGACTAATCATAAGCAGCTGCCTGTCAAATAATTTATGGTTACATTGAATGAGGCCAGCCAAAAAGAGATCAGGTATTTTATCCTAGATCAGATCACAAATATCAATTTATTTAGGTTTTAACATGCATGTCATTTCTCTGGCATTTTGAATGAAACTGCATTCAGTGAATTAATCTGCCACTGGTAATAATGCCACTTACCCTGCCTTGCTGTCTTAATCTATGGCACTCAGTCTGT